GGGCCTGGGGGCATCCGTGCACCCTCAGGAAACACAGAGGCCAGATCTGGGGGCATCCGCGTCCACTGTGGCACTAAGGCTCCCACTCCTCCAGTGGGGGATCCTGAGACTGGCTGCAGCCGAGACTATGACCTCACAAGATCTCCCCATTTGCACTGCTAATGACCAGAGCTTCAGCTGGAAGTGGCCTCAGCCCTGCATAATTCTGCCATGAGGAGACAGTAGGCTTCTATGCAGGATGATCTTTTGTCTCTTTGGAGCAGGTGAGTCCTGGGAAATTCTTATCCTGTTTACCTAATGCAAGTTCCAACATTTTGTTTCAGGCCCCTGTTTACTCCACAGGATACACGGAACCTGGAGTCAGCTAAACCCCTGACCATGATGTCACAGATGAGAGAGAGCATGGCTCAGAGGGCCCATTTTCTGGTTCATAGATGACTCCTTCTCACTCTGGCCTTACATGGTGGGAGGGACAGCTAGCTCTCTGGCATTTCTGTAAGGGCACTAACCCCTTAGGCCTTCATGACCTAATTCCCTCCCAAAGGCTTTACAACCTAATATCATCACATTAGGGCTTAAAATTTCAACATATGAATGTTGGGGACACAGACACTCAGATGATAGAAATTATCTTTCTTTTAGTATTCTTGGTGTCCCAGTGGTATCGGTTGCTCTAACACTGATTTCTAAAATGAAAGTGTAGATAAGATTGTCTCCACGTAAGGAAGGAGTCGGACAAGGAGGGATTTAAACCACTTCCACCATCTTGTTTTCTCACTGCAGTCTTGGGCTCACCACTCATATTCTTCATACTCCTGTCTGAAATAGCTTCCATCTTCCCAAAAGATTGTAATCATTACTCGTGAGTTTCTGATATTCATATTTCTTTCTTGCCTCATCGGGCTCATCTGGAGAAGAAGCCAGGAGATGACGCTAGTTTGCAACTTTAGGAGAAGTCCAATTCATGTGCTCATTTTTCACACATTTTAATAATTTTATCTCGGCCTGTTCTTATCTGAAATATAATAGTCATTTATCATGGGATATGAGGCATCTCTGAAGAAATCTCTATATTCTATTTTGTTTCTTTTTCTAGTTAAGGACTAGCCAGCAATCTAGAAATTTTATCTAATTGAACTCAAAAATTTCTAGGTATTCACTTTATGGTAGAATAATATACTAGTCCTTAATGTGAATGATACTGATGGCTCATATTTACATGATTTTATGTAGAAGCTTTCTATTATCCACAATCAGAAACTGCATCAGACACACCAGCTTCTATTATAAAAGGTTTTGGTGAGTTATGTATGCACAAAATTCATAAAAAGTATTCAGTTGCAGAACATTGCCATCTGGGCTTCAGAGAATTTCGCCTGTTTTATATCCATGGATGCTCCCTCATTGTGGCATTTTCCTCCTCTGGAGGGCATCTTGGAAGAGGTGCTGGTCACTGATTATAGTTCATGGGCCTGTTGGCTAGTGACCACCAATGTCAGATGCAGCTGGATCGGAACCTCTTCTTATTGATGTCCCATGGCGTTGTTTACCTTTGGACTTAGAAAGTCCGGAAATAGTTTAGATGGCATTTGTTCTATGTATCTAACTGTTCTTAAGATTTGATAATTGATATGACAAATGTAGATATTTAAACAAATTCAGATTAGAAATAAACTAAATCAGAAGTAGCAAGTGGGCTTGGCACGGTGGCTCGTGCCTGTAATCCCAGCACTTTGGAAGGCCAAGGCGGGCAGATCACGAGGTCAGGAGATTGAGACCATCCTGGCTAACACAGTAAAACGCTGTCTCTACTAAAAATACAAAAAAATTAGCTGGGCGTGGTGATGCGTGCCTGTAGTCCCAGCTACTCGAGAGGCTGAGGCAGGAGAGTCGCTAGAACCTGGGAGGCAGAGGTTGCAGTGAGCCGAGATTGCGCCACTGCATTCCAGCCTGGGCGACAGAGCGAGACGGTAGCAAGTGAAGGATAGCGGTTCTGAAATGGAATCCTTCTCAGATTCTGTTTTCCAAAGTCTCCTGTTTGTGTTTTTAATTCCACATGAACCCAAACAGTCTCTCCTTCCTAGTACGCTAAGTGTAGAACCATGAAGAAAATGTTAGACATTTAGTCATAATCTGTACGTATCTTACTCATATATGGGAAAGTGGGCATCAGAATATTGTCGAAGAATACAGGTAAAAAGAGGTTTTTTTTATTAATTGTACTTTAGGTTCTGGGGTACACATGCAGATCATGCAGGATTGTTGCATAGGTACATACATGGCAAGGTGGTTTGCTGCCTCCATCCACCTATATCTGGGATTTCTCCCCATGTTATCCCTCCCCAACCTCCCACCCCCTGCTGTCCCTCCCCTAACCACCCCCCAACAGACCCCAGTGTGATGCTCCCCTCCCTGTGCTTATGTGTTCTCATTGTTCAACACCCGCCTATGATCGAGAACATACGGTATTTGGTTTTCTGTTCTTGTGTCAGTTTGCTGAGAATGATGGTTTCCAGATTCATCCATGTCTCTAAGAAGAACATGAACTCATCCTTCAAAAAGAGGATTTTTTTCAAAAGAGAGGATAGATGGGAAAGAAACAAATTCCCCAGCAGCATGGGAACAGCGAGTATGATTTTCTTTATTTCCGGTTATGCTGATTAGCAGGCACCTAGCACAGAGTGCTCTAAGATGTCTATTGGTTCCAAATTCATCCCAAAATTCTTGAGTCTGCCTGTGGTGAGGAAGACAGGTGGACTTGGTGTGATTTCTAGCACAGACCTTCCTGGAGCACATCCACCTGAGTGAGGCCAGGTTTTCACCCTCTCCTTCATCAGAATTTTATCAAAGGCAGACGTTTCTCCATCACTTTTTTTCCCTCTTACCATACAAAAAGGATCTTGAAAGAGATAAATATCACATTTTTGGGGCTCTATATTGTTTCTATAGGGAAAAAAAGCATATTGGCTCCTAATTTAAACACATCCCAGGTCCTTGCACCATGGCAGAAGGGCTGTATTGGTCAGCTCAGAGTTGTAGCTAAACACCAACTTTTCTCACATTTCTGGAGGATGGACTCTGAGTTGACCTCCTCCTGGCTTGCAGAGCACCCCCTGGTGGTTGAATCCTCACACAGTAGAAAGCAAGCAAGCCGGCTGTCAGGTGTCTCAACTCAACAGGGCACTAATCATACTGGATCCAGGCTCCATCCTTATGACCCCATTAAACCTTAATTACCTCTATAGAGGCTCTATCTCCAAATATGGTCTCCCTGGGGGTTGTAATTTTGGGGGACATAAACATTCAAATCGTAACAATGGCAAAATCTCGGTTACTTCACAGTGGGCCACACAGGGCCAAATGTCTGAGCTCCAAATGTCTCTGGAGCATGCACAGAGCCAGCGGCCTGGGACACAGAGGGTTAAGGAGCAGGCTTGCTTGATGCCTGTACTCATTAGAAGGTGTGATGCCACATACATAAAATTGCAGGTGTGATTCCCATCAGGGAGCCATGCACTTCAGCTACGCAGGGGTTAGGAAGTCTCTGTGAGCTTGCAAGGGAGGATGAAGGGTCCCTGTTGGGTTGGTACAACTCGCACGCCCTGGGCAGGAACAGACAGAGGAACAACTGCCTAAAGAAAAAAGCAAAGGAACTGTGGGAGGGACATGCAGCCTAACCCCAGCCCAGCTAAGAGCAGCCCAGTCCAGCCCTATGTGGTATGTGAGAATATTTACAGCACAAAGCAGGTAAGCCAGGGACCTAACAAGGGAGGCAGGGTGCATGGGAACCTGAAGGGACTATGACATCAGAGCAGTGACATCACAGCCTAACATCTGAATCAAAGATGTGATGCCCAAAACCCCAGCTCTCAGAGGACCAGTACCCCTAGCAGGTTGACATCTGCCCAGCTCTGTCTCACCTGGCCATAGGCTCCAGGTGCCTCTGATGGAAAGGCCTTTGTCTCCTGGGAGTGGGTGAGTCTTTGGCACAGGTGGGATGTCTCTGGAGCATGCCTCATCTAAGGCACCCTCAGGCTCCCTCCTGTGTTCTTTCCCCAGCCTCTCTCTCCCTCCCTCACAGGCACAGTGGATTCTGCTGTACAGAACAGGGAGCACTGCATCTCAGGAAGCCTGCAAGGGGAGGACACAGCACAGTGACATCACAGGATACCCCTCCCATCAGGAAAAGCGAGGCTGAGAACTCAGCTCCTCCCCAGGAGGACCGAGCCCTGAGCACAGGCAGAGTGTTGCCTGACCCTTCGTGCCATGGGCTTCAGGCTGCTCTGTTGGGTGCTGCTTTGTCTCCCGGGAGCAGGTGAGTCCCTGCAGACAGGACAGCGCCCCCAATCTGAGCTTGCCCCCACCCCTGTGTCCTCCACTTTACCTCGGGGAGGAGGTACCACCAGGCTGTCTCCTGTGCTCATTTTCCATCTGCTTTTCCCACAGGCCTGGGAGAGGCTGGAGTCACCCAAACTCCAAGACACCTGATCAAAATGAGAGGACAGCAAGTGACTCTGAGATGCTCCCCTATCTCTGGGCACACCAGCGTGTCCTGGTACCAACAGGCCCCAGGACAGGGCCCTCAGTTCATCTTTGAATACTACAATGAGATGCCGAATGAAAAAGGAAACTTTCCTGCTCGATTCTCAGGGCTCCAGTTCTCTAACTATAGCTCTGAGATGAATGTGAGCGCCTTGGAGCTGGGGGACTCGGCCCTTTATCTTTGTGCCAGCAGCTTGGCACAGCCCTACAAAGCCAACCACATTCTGTGCACAAACCTCCCTGGCCCAATGTGGAGCAACCTCAGCCCTGACGTATCTGTGAGAATCTGGGGACTGCAGGGGGAAAGAAAGGTAATTTAGGATGCTAGGACCCACAGCCTGGGGCTTTCTGCTATTCAGGGCTGGAAGAAACAAGGCCAAGAGGGGCTGCTCAGAGGATGATGATGCTTCCATAGGCTCACTGCAGAATTACGTTCTCTGTTTGATACTATAAGCTACAGGGTAGAGGACATGTTCATAGTATAACAGCAGCACTCTCTTTTAGAGGGCAGGGAATTCCATTTTGGGGTCAAGATTCTTGGTAACAGCACAGTGATGAAGGTAAAATCACTGGAGTTTGCTTTGTATAATTTAGGGTGAAGAAACTGAGATTTGGGAAAAAGTGGAGGAGAGAGAACAAGATTTAAGATTTTTGAAAGTAGAGATAGGGCGGAAGGTGATGAGAAGTGGTGTTTTGTGTACCCGAAGCTCTCTTCTCACCCTTCCCCAAATTTTCAATATCTAGAAAATATAAAGGAAGTACTTACAGCAACTAGCATCACTGGTGACCAGTCCCAGTTGGGGATATCACCAAAGAGCCACTTGCCTGGCGTGAGAGTCCTGGAGTTGGTTCTGCAGTCTTCCCTGTGGTCCTCTGGCCTGAATCTGATCTCTTCAGGTCACAAATCAAGTACTTTCCAAAACACAGATGAGGTCATTTTACCCTTGAAGGTAAACAGGTAAAGGCTCTCCAGTTTCCCTCAAATGTGTTGTATTTTCCTGGGATGTCTTTCTGAAATTCATCACCCAGATCCAATTACCATCTGTGATCAAACAGCTCTTTAAACATTTCCTAAAACTCAGCAGCCTTTAGACGCTCTGCAATTGTCCTTGCTATTTCCATGGACTGGAAGAACCTTTGTTCTCCTAATACAGCACCAGATACTGATCATCTGTCAAGGGGAGGCTCATACCTGCCTTCCTCTTCACTTCCTACTGTGACATTCCCTGGGACTGCACTGTGTCACTCTCTTTCCTTTATTTTCATAAGAAAAGCCAGGTTTGCAATTGATTCTATTTGATGTTTGCAAAGTGAGTAAGTGAATGCCCACTTGTACTGAGTCCTGGAAGATGATTAATTACTGCCTTCCCTTCACCAAGGATTCTTCTTACCTGAAGTATCATGGATAGTGATTATGAATAGTCTCAGTATTTCATACAACCTCTGCTAATATTCTGAGCAATTGTGTCGTCACAGTCTGGATTGATGGCCAGTGCTGCAAAGTATCCTAACTATATCTAACGCTGCAATTTACAAATGTTCTTTCGGAGCAAAAAAATCACGTTATAGTAATATTTATTCAGTCTCATGATTCTGTAAAAATATTCCTTGCCATAACCACAGTTTCCCCAACCACATCTTTAGAGATTTGATGAGGCTGGAGCCTCATCAAGGGTGCTTTTCAGAAATCAGCCTAAAACGGAAAGGAAAGTCAGCTGTGCGCAGTCATGGAATGTTATCATCTTTGGCAAATAAAAGATATTGTGTGTGTGAATATGTGTGTGTGTGCATGTGTGTGTGTGCATGTGTATGTGTGTGTGCATGTACATGTACGTGGGCACGTGTGTGTGTGTTCTTGTGGAGACTCACCCACATGGACATAGTTTCTCTGGTGGCATTACTAAGAGGTGCTGAGTCACTTGTGGAGCTCATTGGCACTTCTGGGGAGTGACAGGAAATGTCACAGCCAATTGAATCTGCTTGAGTTAGAGCTGATAGGGTTGTTTATTTCAAGATTTTCTAAGTTCAGAAATAAATTTTATAAAAATTTAAAAATCCTCTTTATAAAACACACTATCTAAAATTTGCTAATAATTCATCTAAATAATTCATTAACCAACATTTTGATTGCAAAATACACAATGTTACAGCATGGTAATTAGTACAAAGCATGAAAATGTGGGTCTGAGTAATCAAAAGGAACTATTGAATACAGCTTCCAGGCTAGGCCTGCTTGATAGCTTCACGCTGTTTAAATCTGTGGCCTGTATTTTTCAGGTTCCTCTCATGCATCCTAGCATGCTAATTGCAATGCTGTAACACTGTTCATTTTGCAATCAAAATGTTGGTTAATGCATGCTTTTGCCTTCACTAGCTAAGGTGGACTTTAAGATCAGCACTAGGCCCGGCGCCATAGCTCATACCTGTAATCCCAGCACTTTGGGAGACCAAGGTGGGTGGGATCACCTGAGGTCAGAGTTTGAGACCAGCCTGACCAACATGGAGAAACCCCGTCTCTACTAAAAATACAAAATTAGCTGGGCGTGGTGGTGCATGCCTGTAATCCCAGCTACTTGGGAGGCTGAGACAGGAGAATTGCTTGAACCTGGGAGGCGGAGGTTGTGATGAGATCACACCATTGCACTCCAGCCTGGGCAACAAGAGCAAAACATCCTTTCAAAAAAAAAAAAAATCAACCCTAAATTGGCCCTTCTGGGAAAGCATAGAGAGGGCATGTGTGAGAGAGTAGGGGTTGCAGGAGTGAGAGCAGGCCATTTCTGTTCCTTCTTTGGATAATCTTGAGCTCACCAGGTCAGGTGTGAATCCATGAGACTCTGGATTTTTGGCCACTTGGAGGCGCTGTGGCTCCACAGTGCTGCAGAGAACTCAGTGGAGGGCTGGAGAGTGGCCAGGAGGGGAGGGCTGAAGGGGAGGCCTGGCTGCTTGCTGGCATCAGGGGCCCTTTGAGATTCCCTGAGTGGGGCCTGGACATGTGAAGTTAAACACTGACGCCTAACTGCCAAGGAAGGGTAGGAGTGCTAGAGGCCTCCGTTTGCACCAAGAAGGGAGTGTCTCTGCCTCTGTATGGGCAGTGTGGGTGAAGAGGCTGGGGTGGGAAGGGCTGGGAATGGGTGTCAGGTCTAGAACAGGGAGGGCAGAGGAAAGGACGGTGTGATGTGAGCATGTGGGGACTGCATTCCCCGCCACATTTTTAATTTCAGGGCTGTGTAGGACTGGAAGATCTCGTGGAGTAGCAAAGCTTGGGCTCTGCCAGTAGTTGCAGTGTGCAGGGGTGGCCTGCAGAGTCACTGGGAAAGGCCAGTTCCCCGAGGATATGCCAGAAACTTTCCTGCCCCTGTTCACGAAGTGACCTTGAGACAGGTGCTTCCAGCTAGAGGGGCTCAGGCCCTGCTCAGCCGACAGGATTTTCTTTCCCAGGCCTTCTCTGCTGCTTCTCTATGTGATCTCCTTTAATGCTCACTGAAATCACAAGTATTTATTTTTGTGCCTGTTTTTTTTTTTAATCTGAAGGAAGGCAGCTGACTCTGGTCTCATATTTAATAACTGGGTATCGTATGCTCTCCAACACCTCCCCACCCTCCCCTGCTCTGTACATCTGTCCCCTCATCTGGCTTCCTCATTCTAGGTCCCATTAGCAGGAGGGGAAGGTCATGCCTCGTATGCGACCATTATAACCTCTTCCTTGACAAGTCAAAAAAACATATGACTTCCAGGCTAAGCATATCCATTCATCCTTCATTGTAGCAAAAGGAAAGATAAAATTTTCTACACTGTAGAATTTCTGTAACTGATGCAATCTACCTTGAGGAAAAGTAACATGAGTAATTATTATCCATTACTTATTTTATTTTATATCTTTTATTCGACAAAGTTTTTGAGGCCCTTTCTTTGCTATTTTATGACATAAAATTAAAAATGAAAAACAGTTTAATAATAAATATTTCTTACTTTTTAGAGTATTAAGGCTTAAATTTATTTTGTTTTATTTTAGTTTCACTTATTCAAAGTACTTTACTTAGTTTCTGAATAATACAAATTTCCTTTTCTTGCTCTTTCTCTCTTTAGCTACCTCCCTCGTTTTTGCCAGCTTTTTAATTTAATGTGGTAAGAACATTTAACATGAGATCTGTATTTCAAATAGATTTTGAAGTGTACAATACAGTATTGTAATGTACAAGTACAAGGTTGTACAGAAGCCCTCTAGATCTTACTCATCTTGCTGAATTGAATTTATTTACAGACTGAGTCTTGCTCTGTCTCCCAGGCTGGAGTGCAGTGGTGTGATCTCAGTTCACTGCAACCTCTACCTCCTGAGTTCAGGTGAGTCTCCTGCCTCAGCCTCCTGAGTAGCTGGGACTACAGGCGTGCACCACCACACCTGGCTAATTTTTGTATTTTTAGTAGAGACGGGTTTTCATCATATTAGCCAGGCTGGTCTCGAACTCCTGACCTCGTGATCCACCCACCTCAGCCTCCCAAAGTGCTGGGATTACAGGCGTGAGCCACTGCACCTGGCCACTTAACTGAAATTTTATACCTGCTGACAGCAAGTGCCCATTTCCTCCACTCCCAGCCCTCGGATATCACCATTTTTGTTTTTGCTTCCATGAGTTCAGCTTTTAGGTGGCCTGCTATACAGAATCATGCAGTATTTGTCTTTCTGTGCCAGGCTTATTCACTTAGCACAATGTCATGCAGCTTTATCCATGTTACCATGAATGGCTGGATGTTCTTTTTAACGCTTAATAATATTCCATTGTATGAATATACCACGTTTATGGTCTTTGACTGTTTCTATGAAACCCTCTGTCACATGAGTGGCAGAGTCATTTGCAGAACGGAAAGCATGGATTACATTAATGTACATTCACATTTCAGTTCTGCTCCATGGACAAGATTTCTAACAAAATAATAATTCGGTCATTTGCCGTTATTTTACTATACATAAAATAGAAGCCCTTCATTTGGGAAGTTTCAATTATTTAGAAATTCAACTGCTGGAAGGAAACCCTAAGACATAAATGCTTTTCTCATTGTACCCGCGACAGAATTGGCCCATCAGTTAAATAACTTGAGCAAATTAAATAGCTATTAGGATGCAGTATTGGGACTCCAACCCTGCCCAGTCTAAGATCCATGTTTACAGCTCTATACTGTAAACTATTTCATAAAGCTTCCAACCTACAAAAAATTGGAATGTTTTCCCCTATATCCCTTTTAGACCTGCTGGCTCTAATAACATCATAGTTGGAGATCAGTGTATCCTGCAGACAGTGGTGAAGGGAAAGAAGTCCGAAGAGGTGCCATGACACCCAGTCCTGACTCCCATTCTAACACCAGCTCATCAAGACCTGAGGCCAGCTCTTGACAGGTTAAGTTTAGTTTCTTAACTTTTTTATCTATCAAATGAAACTACTAACGTCCATCAACAGAGTTCTATATAAAATTGAGTAGCTACTGGGCACGGTGGCTACGCCTATAATCCCAGCACTTTGGGAGGCTGAGGCGGGCAGATCACCTGAGGTCAAGAGTTCGAGACTAGCCTGACCAACATGGAGAAACCTCGTCTCTACTAAATATACAAAATTAGTCAAGCGTGGTGTCGCGTACCTGTAATCCCAGCTACTCGGGAGGCTGAGGGAGGAGAATTGCTTGAACCCAGAAGGCGGAGGTTGTAGTGAGCCAAGATAGTGCCATTGCATTCCAGCCTGGGCAACAAGAGAAACTCTGTCTCAAAAAAAACAAAAAAACAAAAAAACAAACAAACAAACAAAAAAAAACAGAAAAAAAAATGTAATAGCATAAAGTATCTAGCATATAGTAGAAGCCTAGATACTTTGATTCCCTTTGCTCATCTCAGACAACCTCTTCCACTACGCCAATGTACAAAGACAGATATGGACACATTCTGCCAAGAAATCTTAGCTTGAGGACTCAGAAGTCACAGAAATGGACATATATATGCCTGATAGTTCATTTGATAAAATTAACTAGAGGATGTAGCTTACATATCCCCTCAGACATTTAAAAGTCAACATTATTGATATCTAAACCTTTTAAATAAACAGATCAGTGATTTTTGAGCAACATATATGTTCATATGCATGCAACCCCACCTCTATGAAGATGTAGAACATCTGTGTCACCCAGAAAGTCCCTCATGCCCCTCTGCAGTACCTCTCTCTGTCCCCAACAACCTATGATGTCACTTCTATCACTGGAGAGTAGTTTTGTTCACAAATATTTTTGATGAAAATTTAAAACCTCTTTGATTAATCCTCTTTAATACATAGCTAAATCACCAAGGCAGGGGGTTGTTCCTGGAAAGTTTTATGGTTTTAGAAGGGGTTGAAGCCACGTGAGCTACCTGATCCATGTTAGGGACAATTCTATCTGGAGATGGACGTTGTGCTGAAATAACCTTAAAAGGCCTCTTCAACTGGTAGAAGCTGATTATACAAAATGTATTTATTTTTATTCATTTATTTTCTCACCAACTCATTCAATCAAATAATTTTATGTTATGTATTGACAAAAATTAATCATCTTTATGGAAATTATTTTGAGTTCCCATCAGACACACATGCAGCTGGGCTTTGTGTTCACATAGTGAGCATGTGGGGTCTAGCAAACCATGGAAACAGTGACTTCATTGACAGATGATGTCTTATTGGGAGAAAGGTTCTCTTGGACTTGACCACAAGTGTCCAACTCATAAAACCTGAGCCTTGAGCTAAAATCCATCTTCCTGTTCTGTTCCTGCCCTGGGCACCAGGCCACTGTCCCATGCATTTCTCTGTCTTCTGAACCAGAGTCCTGGGCACACATATGGAACCTATTTGTGGGCTCATTGGATCCCAGGGGACTTGGGGACTAGACGGGGAGAGTGGGTGGGGTTGAGGGAAAAATACTACAAATATGGTGCAGTATATACTGCTGGGGTGATGGGTGAACCAAAATCCCACACTTCACCACTAAAGAACTTACTCATGTAACAAAACACCACCTGTACCCCAACAACACGAAAAAATACAAAATAAACTAAAATAAGTACTGTGACTTGCAGTACCAGGCGGCCCTTTGCTGTGACTTTATGTGTCCTTTCTTCTTAAGTCCCATAGACGCTGAGTGACCCAGACCCTGGTCAAGCTCTTGTGCTGACAGAAAGCCAGCACAGGGGGAGGCAAGCAGAATATGGAACAAAATCATGTATTTACCACCAGTGGCAAGTCCTTTGTTCAAACACTGTTAAGAATTTGAAGATCATGAAAGCAGAGTGTAAAATCAAGTGCAGGGTCCTTCCAAATGTGGGGCTCTGTGCACCAAAGAGAGTTTTTGAGCTCCTTTTATTTTATTTTATTTTTTTTGTAAAACACTCCATGTTCATGGCTGTAGGCTATGACAGAAATTTTTTTTAGTTTAATTTGTATTTTTCCGTATGTTATTGAGGTACAGGTGGTATTTGCTTACGAGTAAGTTCTTTAGTGATGATTTATGAGATTTTGGTGCACCCATCACCTGAGCAGTACACACTGCACCATATTTGTAGTCTTTGGTCCCTCCCACTCTCCCCACCAAGTCCCCAAAGTCCATTGTATCATTCTTATGGCTTTGTGTCCTCATAGCTTAGCTCCCACATATCAGTGAGAACATATTATGTTTGGTTTTCTATACCTGAGTTGCTCCACTTAGAGTAATAGTCTCCCATCTCATCCAGGTCACTGCAAATGCTGTTAATTCATTCTTTTTTATGGCTGCATAGTATTTCATCATATATCACAGTTTCTTTATCCACTTGTTGATGGATGGGCATTTGGGTTGGTTTCTTTTTATTTATTACTAAATTAATGGCAGGAATCCTGCACAAAGGGATATCTCCTATGAAATATATCATCTCAATAATCCCAGAGCATTCTTCCTTACCCTAAAGTCTGCCATGTCTCCCCAACTCCCTCACACATCAGGACCCCTTTGTGCCCATAGGTCATGGGCAGCGTTGGGCAGCCACCAACGTCTACACAGAGAGGGCAGTCACCAGCATGAGGTGGTTCTGCCTGCTGCAATCTCACCACTGACACAGAATGCAAGAGCTGTGGGTGGAGCTGAAGGTGCTCAGCTGGGCTTGTCAGGAGTCCCATCTGTCAGTGAGTTGACAAGAAACAGAGCAAAACGACTCCTCCAATGTTGATGAGCCTGCCCCTGGGATTTGGAGACCTGATAACAGAGACAACCAAGATAGGCACAGGACTTCAACAGGATTATGGTTAATTAAGCAAATTAGAAAGGGATACTTGAAGGAGTATCTGGGACACAGGAATCAAAAACACCAGGAAGACAAGATGATTTTTTTTCTAAGATTTTATACTATAGCAATACTTAGATAACCAGTACCAGTGTATTAATGAGTAATTATTATTATTATTATTTTGAGATGGAGTCTTACTCTATCATCCAGGATGGAGTGCAGTGGCACAATCTCAACTCACTGCAAACTCTGCATCCCTGGTTCAAGTGATTCTCGTGCCTCAGCCTCCCGAGTAACTGGGACTACAGGTGTGTGCCAGCATGCCTGGTTGATTTCTGTATTTTCAGTATTGATGGGGTTTTGCCATGTTGGCCAGGCTGGTCTCCAACTCCTGGCTTCAAGTGATCTGATCTCTTCAGCCTCCCAAAGGGCTAGGATTGCAGGTGTGGGCCACCATGCACAGCCAAGTAATTATATCACCATGGGAATAAAAAATATACATTGAGTTACAAAATCATTACCAAAAGATTAAAAAAAAATGTAGACTTACATCAATTCAGACAAAGACATTCTTCCCATCCAACCTGTTCACTGGTGCATTTATCTTGAATTTGACTATCTGGGGAAGAGGCGTGGCCTCTCCTGACAGGAAGGCACTAGGGCCCAGGCAGGGAGAATGAGATCTCAGAATGACTCCCTTGAGAGCCTTGTTCCCTGTTCACCAACACGCAGACCCAAAAGACTCCTCCGTCCTGCAGCACTGCCATGAGCATCAGCCTCCTGTGCTGTGCGGCCTTTTGTCTCCTGTGGGCAGGTGGGTCCTGGCCAGGCTACTGCGTGGATTTCAAGGCCCAGCACCTTCCCATTGGGGCTGCAGCATGGGCTTTGTTCTCCTTCTCTGCAGGTCCAGTAACTGCTGGTGTCACTCAGACCCCAAAATTCCAGATCCTGAAGACACGACAGAGCATGACGCTGCAGTGTGCCCAGGATATGAACCATGACCGCATGTACTGGTATCGACAAGACCCAGGCATGGGGCTGAGGCTAATTCATTACTCAGTTGGTGAAGGTACCACTGACAAAGGAGAAGTCCCTGATGACTACAATGTCTCCAGACCAAACAGAGAGGATTTCCCGCTCAGGCTGAAGTCAGCTTCTCCCTCCCAGACATCTGTGTACTTCTGTGCCAGCAGTTACTCCACAGTGCTGCAAGGCTGTCTCCTCTCTGCACATAAAGGCAGGAAGGCTCTGCCCTCCTCCCCACCCCAGATTCAGCGATGTCCTTGGTCCTAGCACCAGAAACTTTGGAGCCCCAGTGGGCCCGGGCAGTGTGAGCCTTGGTCTGGGCCAGGTGCCTCTGCAGTCAGTCTGATCCAGGCCTGGACTGGTTGCAGGCCCTCAGATGTCTTCTTTGCTGCCCTCTTGTCTTTCCTCTGAGCAGTCCATTTGGGGTGGGGCCAGGGGGTTCCCATCTCTGACTTTCCTAGTCATTCACCTGAGTCTGAGGACTCCTAGATGGAATAGGATTTGTATTTCAGATCCATCTAGACTCCCATCTCTACCTGGGTACCGCATGCTTTCCTCTCTCTATGATTTTCCTCATACGGAACCCAAATGTGGTCTTAGTTGCAGTCTGCATTTCCTATATTCACAGTTTCCCTCCAAGGCCTTACTGGGTTTCTCCTCCCCAGTCTCCTGCCCTTCTCTACTCCAGCCAGGTTGAGACACTCCAAAGTCCATTTCCTGTGCCCTGGGCTGGAGCTTTCCTTTCTGTAGTGGTCAACACCTACCTGTGCTTCAGATCTCAGCGTGATCAGCCCTAATGATAATCACCATTATGTTTCCCTTGGCTCCCAGCTGAGGTCAGTTTCCCTCTCATAATCTCTCATGGTATCATACGTCTGTTAGTCAGTAGAATGTAGCACAATTGGAATCTTCCAGACACTTTAAACCGCATGAAGGCCAAGGCTATGCCTGCTTTATATACCAACAGCAGTGCCTGGAACACGGGGAGACCCATTTCATAGAGAATGGATGAGTCAATGACTAAGTGATGAGTGGATGGATGGATGAATACCAGGAGCACCCTAGACCCATTTTACCCCGGCAGAGATCTGGCATGAAGGACGGGAAACCTTACCCCTTTGATTGCTGGGCTAGGGTAGGTCCTTGAAATTAATGGGGAGTCGATATCGGAGTGGCCACCCCTAGGTCAAGGCTTCCTCCTGTGTTCGCAGCACTAGGCCTCCTCCAGGTCCCTGTGGCCTCCTTCAGGCTCCTTTCCCCACAACAAATGTTGACAGATCAGAGATCCATTTCCAGAAACCCATGCATACAGTTTTGGCTTTTTTTTTTTTTTTTTTTTTTTTTTTGGACCCACCTCCCCCAATACAGAAATGATGCTGTCGAGGAAGAAAAGGTGATGGTGCAAGAAAGAAAGTAGGTACAGGACTAGTAAATGGTCTTAGTGGTATTACTGGAAACTATACAGATTGGTGGTTTATAAACAAGCCCAAACTTTCAATTCAATTTTTTTTTTTTTTTTTTTTTTTTTTTGGAACCACTTCTGGTATCAAAAACTCCATTAGGTTTACATCAACAAAATGAAGCCGCTAAAAGTACTATGGAGAGGAGGATTTATGACGGGAATTAGACCTTATATAAATGTAGGGGGATCTGAGGAAGAGAAGGTCTGGAGGGGAGATCTAGCCAGGCAGGTTTAATTTATGATTAATGTGAGGTCCTATTCTACTCAAAGGAGAGCATATGATTCCAACATAAAAAATATATATATTGACTTGTCAAGGCATGGTGGCTCATGCCTATAATTCCAGCACTTTGGGAAGCTAAGGTGAGTGGATCACAAGGTCAAGAGATAGAGACCATCCTGGCCAACATGGTGAAACACCATCTCTACTAAAAATACAAAAATTAGCCGGGCATGGTGGCATGCACCTGCAGTCCCAGCTACTTGGGAGGCTGAGGTGGAGAATCATTTGAACCTGGGAGGTGGAGGTTGTAGTGAGCCGAGATCGCACCACTGCACTCCAGCCTAGTGACAGAACAAGATTCCATCTCAAAAAACAAACAACAACAACAAAAGTAATTGATTTTTCTTTGTAATAGTTGGACCTAAATAGTGAGCTATTTTGTTCCATAATTGTCTTAAGTTGGCTAATGGTGGAAAAAACCTTTGATGCTAGGAGTTCGATTTTCTTGGAAGAACAGGGAAAAAAATGTCATGCATATTCAGTCTTACATGCTGTATTTTATGGAGGAACCATAATAAAAAGGAAACAGAAAATCAGAATTCTCTTCTGGAACCTACATTGGGGCTATCCTCTGAGCAGGTTGTGATGTGAGGAATCAGTTCTATGAGGGGTATTTTGCAGCCCAGAGTGTAGCAGACAGTTCCTGACTCCATGCATTTGGGGGTGAGACCGGAGACAGCTGAAAAAGCTATGGAGTCTTGACATTCTGTACTCTCAACCCTGCCCTCTCTGGACTTTCACAGATTAACATCAGAGCAATTTACTTCCACTATTTAAAATGCTAAAACAAAAGCCAACAAGGAGCAGTGAGCAGAAGCAATAAACCATTAAAACAGACATGACATCCTAAAGATTTAAAATTTTGCCATCGTAAGATGTGAATGTTCGAAGAGCTACATTTAAAGGAATACAAGGAGGAACTGAAACAAGAACAAGAAAAAAGAGACCGTCCCAAACTATCAAAAACATTAGAGAAATAAGCAAATAGAATGTCTAGAAATCATTACGATTACTACAGAAAACAGGACGGAAGATAAACAGCAGATTAGATGCTCCTAAAGAGGTTAGTAGATATCAAAATAGATACCAAGAAATCATCGAGAATGTAGCACAGAAAATTAAAAACAAAATATTTAAAAAGTGAAGGAACTAGGAAAAAGTGAAGTTTCTAATATATTAAAGTATATAATGTTTTATTGAAAAAATAATTTTTTTGAGACAAAGTTTTGCTCTTGTTGCCCAGGCTGGAGTACAATGGCGCGATCTCGGCTCACTGCAAACTCTGCCTCCCGGCTTCAAGCGATTCTCCTGCTTCAGAATCTGGAGTAGCTGGGATTACAGGCATGCACCACCACACCCAGCTAATTTTGTATTTTTAGTAGAGACGGGTTTTCTGCATGTTGGTCAGGTTGGTCTCGAACTCCTGACCTCAAGTGATCCACCTGCCTCAGCCTCGCAAAATGCTGGGATTACAGGCATGAGCCACTGTGCCCGGCCTTATTGAAATTTTTCTTTTTTTTTTTTTCTTGTATATAATTGAAGTTTTAGAAAGAGAAAACAGGGGAAATGGCCTGAGGTGACCGTATGTGTGATGTTAGCTGAGAATGTTCCTGAGACGTTTGAGGACCTAAATCCTCTTTCAAGAATTCAGATGAATTGCAAGACAAATAGGCAGGTCCCAGTGAAATTGCAGAACATAAATGACAAAGAGAAGATTTTAACAGCAGTCAGAAGGGAACGGTAAATATCTTCCAGTGGAATAAAATGAAACAGTCAAGGTCAAGAAAGGATGACAAATAGGCATTAAATCAGAATTGTAGTCCTCATTTATTGAAGATTGAGATTGATAAAAATATCTATAGGACAGGAAAAGAAAATACGGAAAACTAAAAAAAATGCTGTGAATTTGCCATCAAGGTATCTTTTCTGAGTTATAGTTAACAAGGGTGGGAAATAGTCCCAGAAGAAAGGCATGAGGTGCAGCTCGTGAGAGAACCCCTGTGATGGGACAACCCCGTTGGGGACATGTGACTGTGGGGATGGAGGAGGTTGGGGCATGAATGGGGATGGCACTGGGGACCCTGATTTGCAGGAAAGACAATGAGCTCACCCCTTGGTGCCTTCTGTTGGGGGTGCTGTTGGCACATCCTAGAGAGCATGCCCAGCAGACAGAGGAACGGCTGTGGGATGAGGAGATGAACTCAGAGGTGCAGCGTGAGGCCTCTGGGTCCAGGCAGCATGGGAGCCCAAAGCGAAGACCTATGCAATAATATTGTTTAAAAGGAGCTTATAAATATTAAAAGTAGTCATCCACGTGTGTTGCAGTATAAATCCTGTGTTCCCAAGGATATGCAGATTGAGAAAGGAAGTGATGTCACAGTGGGAACTTCCATGTAAGGACAGGGACGTCACTCCTTCTCTGCTCCTGCTCACAGTGACCCTGATCTGGTAAAGCCCCCATCCTGCCCTGACTCTGCCATGGGCACCAGGCTCCTCTGTTGGGCAGCCCTCTGCCTCCTGAGAGCAGGTGAGTCCTCAGACACCAAGCAGTCTCAGTCTCACTCTGTGTGTGTCTGTGTGTGTGAGTGTGTGTGTGTGTGTGTGTAGGGGTGGGATGTATGTGTTCCTGTTATGGCTAAAATTGTTTTCCTCATTCTGTTCTCAACTTCTGTCTCCACAGATCACACAGGTGCTGGAGTCTCCCAGTCCCCCAGTAACAAGGTCACAGAGAAGGGAAAGGATGTAGTTCTCAGGTGTGACCCAATTTCAGGTCATAATGCCCTTTATTGGTACCGACAGAGCCTGGGGAAGGGCCTGGAGTTTCTAATTTACTTCCAAGGCAAGGATGCACCAGACAAATCAGGGCTGCCCAGTGATCGGTTCTTTGCAGAGAGAGATGGGGGATCCTTCTCCACTCTGCAGATCCGGCGCACAGAGCAGAAGGACTCGGCTGTGTATCTCTGTGCCAGCAGCTTAGCCACAGTGTGGCAGAGTCACCTCCTTCCTGCTCACAAACCTCATCCTTCTCTCCCCTTGCAGCTCCTAGAGACCCTTAACAGAGGCCTCCCTTTGTTCCTCCCTCCTCAAAGGAAACAAGTAGATTTGGACCTCGGCTGTCCTTAGGGTAGAAAGAAACCACAAATTCACCCCTGAGACACAGCAACTATAAATGTGGGTGGTGGAAGCTTCCAAACCAGCCAGCATAATTCTGAGAGCTATGTGCTCTCAGCAACTTCAGAGAACTCATCAATCCTTTCTGCACTCAAACATCCCTTTGTCTGCCCTAAGACCCAGATCCACTTTGTCCACACGAAGATCCTATCATGAAAACGATGGGCTGTGCTATCGTGCTGATGCCCCATTTCTGGGAGTTGAGTATTAAGCACTGAAGAACTTTGAAAGTTGTGCTTCTGAATCCAATGATGTACTGGAGCCAGATTTTCTGACTCACGAGAGACAAATAAGCGCACTCTTTCCATCTCCCCGTACGGTGAAGCCATGTTAACAGCTTGAAATCCACCATGGGGCCTATGTTGCTACAACAGAAATTGGCGAAAGCTTCCACCACCCACATGTCCCCACCTCCACAGACATTCAGTTTACTAGCACATCACTGGAATGTCTTCTGAGACAATGATGTCCCTGTTATGCCATGTCTTGTGGGGCTGAAAGGACTCAAAATTCACCCCCTTTCTGCCCTTCCTTTTAGAAACCGCAGTCTAAGATAGCCTCAACTGATCCTATTTCTATTCAATCTTCAAATGCTCTTGACTTGTGGGTCTGTGTCTCCTATAAGCATGGCGGTCTGGAACATGACAACTATTTTGAATGTAGCTAAAGGAAACAGCAAACCAGTTCATTATTTTCAAATTATCCTCCCTTGCATGGAATATGTAGATGCTGCAGTCACTGGGAACAGAGATGGGATAAGCAGCAGCTCTGGACTGGAAACCACTTTACTGCCAGATTCTTCAGTGGCAGAGACACACCCTGGGGCATGGACTAATTTGCTTTGGAAACTAAGCAGCTCCACACCAGTCAGCGATGACCTTGGATCTATTTTCAGATGAGAGGTCAAAAAGATCACACTTACTCTAAATGTCCTCCTCTCCAATATACAGTACAGGCCCCGTCCATCTCAGTCCCTGGAGGTCATCCAGAACTCCCAGAGAATCCCTGCTCTGGGGCAGAATCACCAAGGCTGGTCCTCGCCAGCTCCCCACAGGCTCCAGCAGGGCTTTCCTGCCAGGTGCAGGGCATGGGTGTGGCTCTGCTCCCTCTCAGGTAGAGGGAGGCCATACGATGATGTTTACATAAGAAGGACTGGGTTTCTGAGGCTCCTCTCAAATATTTGACATAATTTTATTTGCTTTTTGTTTCACTCTACAGTGTCACCATTTAGGAAAGCAATTATTTTTGGTTGCATTATTTATGGCCCTTTGAAAGAGTTTTGTGGTTAAACTAATTTAAGAAACCATTCCAATTGTGCATCTCTTCTGTTCAGAAATAATCTGAGGCAGTGAGAGAAACAGCAGTAATTTTGAAAGCAGTCTCTTACACGTCCTGTGATGAAGGCATTGCTCAGGGTTTATTACTCACACCTAACTTTCAGTCTACTGGAAATTAAAGGACACAGAGTTGGGGGCATGTGATCAAGCCACAAGAGAGGACTATGCCAGTTGCTGTGAGACTTCAGGGCAGGAATGACCTCTCTGTTAGTCCCTTCTCAACATTGAAGGAATAAGAGTTGGTCCATGGGAAGCTGAAGAGGAGAAATTCTGGGAGCCTTTAACTGAGATGGAGCAAGGGCTGCAGAGCAAGTCATTGGAAAGAGAAATGGTTCATCTGGTCTGTCACAGAAGACAGTGGCTACAAACGTCCTATAATCCCCAGTCCCCTGGCTGATTTGCTTCCTCATGATACCATTTTGCACTAGCATGCCCTCATCTCACACCACTCCTCTGCCTCTTCCAGAATCATCTCCTCCCTCTCCGCTGCTCAGATCAGCAGACGTGCATTGTACAAGTTATTCTTTTTCTGTAGCAGGCCTTTTGCTGGTCTTATTTATATCCATCCATATTTTCCCATAAGATACTGCTCGCTCCACGATTGCTTATTGCCTTGCCAGAGATCTTATTTTTTATATTCTAGTTTTACTTTTGATTAACACATATTTGACCCCATCTTGAAGGTAATCACATTATCTGCCCAGTCTTTTGCTAATCTTTATTTTTATGGTAGCATTGCCGTTTAGGGGGACATGTTTATTTTTGATAATGGAAAGGAAATAACATTACACTTCATTTTCTGTATTTTTTCCTTCTTTAGAGTAAATACAATTTCCTTCCATTCTTCCTATTCTATTCCTCTTTCTTTAGATAGTTTTAAGGGAGAAAATGTCAGTGTGACTATAACTGCAGCTATGGGGTAAAAATTATTTAGAATGAGGGTAGGTTATTAAGCTTAGTAACTCAAAGAAACAGGGTTAAAGCTAGTGTTGGGATCCGGGTTGAGGGAGGTTGCTCATAAAACCTGCAGGATGGCACTTCTGGAATATTCCCCCAGCTCACTCTGCAGGAACTTCCCAGCATCCCCGGGCCACTGCAGAAGAAACAACGGTGAAACTTTCACTCACTGGCCTCAAGATGGCACTATGATGCACTGGGATCTAAGGGACTGGGGAGATTGGGAAAGCAGCCTGGGAGGGAAATGGTTAAGAAAAATTAGGGCTTGGATCCAATATTACACAGATGTTTCAGCAGTTTTCAGTTATTGCTTGGCTACCTACAGATATGCAAGAGGTGGGAAGTTCCTCTAATCTTGATTGAGATACACAGCTGAAGCACTTTGGCCGGGCAGCCTTGGCTTCAGGGACAGGTGCAGACAGAGAAGCAACTGTCAGAGGAACATGGGAAAGAGAAGGGTGGGCTCTGCGCTAAGCCCAGTGCATCTCTGCTGCACCCCATCTTTCCTGCAGGTCTCACCAGGCATCAACGTCCATGAGAGAAGGTGGATCCTGCCTAAGTCTAGTGAGAAGTCCCTCAGGTTTCGTTTGTTTGGGAAAGTTATTATTTCCCCTTCATGTTTGAAGGATATTTTCATTGGGTATACTATTATTTTATTAACCTTTTTTTTCAGCACTTTAAATATGTCATACTGCTATCTCTTGACCTGTGAGATTTGCACTGAAAAGTCTGCTGCTAGACCATATTGGAGTTCCCTTGCATGTTATCTGTTTATTTTCTCTTGCTGCTTTTAGAATCCTTTCTTTATCCCTGAAAATGGGAGTTGGATTATTCTCTTGATGTAGTCTTCTTTGACCTAAATGTTGGTGTTCTACAATCTTCTTGTACTTTAATATTGATAGCTTTCTCTAAGTTTGGGAATTTCTTCTGTTATCATAGCTTTGAACAAACTTTCAGCCCTATCTCTTCCTCTACCTCCTCTTTAAGGTCAATAACTCTTAGAGTTGTCCTTATGAGGCTATTTTCTAAATCTTGTATGTATGCTTCATTATTTTTTATTCTTTTGTCTCTTCTGGTGGTATATTTTCGAATAGCCTGTCTTCAAGCTCGCTGATTCTTCTGCCTCATCAGTTGTGAGGTTGAAATCCCCATGCATTCATCAGAATGTCAATTGCATTTTCTGCTCCAGAATTTCTGATCGTTTTTAATTATTTAAATCTCTTCAGGATTCTGAATTTCTTGCCTGTGTTATCTTGAATTTTGTTGACACGTGGTGATTATTACAATTCAAGGCGAGATTGGGTGGGGACACAGAGCCAAACCATATCTGAGGGGGAGCTGCCACACACTTTTAAATGACAAGATCTTGCAAGAACTCACTCGCTCTCATGACGACAGCAGCAAGCCATGAAGGATCTGCCCCCATGAAATGCCACCCACCAGGCCCCACCTCCATCACTGGGGATTATAATTCAGCATGAAACATGGGTGGGGACTGTTAAGCACACTCTGAATGAAGAGACAACCTAAACAGGCTTTGTGTAAGCAATAAGGCTATTCACTCAGTGTGAGCGGACCGAGTCCGAAAAGGGGGTCAGCAGAGGGTGGTGGGTTAGGAGCTGGTTTTATAGGTTTGGGGTAGGCTGTGGAAAGTTACAGTTCAGGGTGGTTTTTGCAGGCTAGGGGAGGCTGTCACAGGATCCAATGTCACAAGGTTGGCTTATTAGTTGAGGCAGGAACAATGGCAGAATGTCACAATGTCGGTTAATCACACAGTGCAGGAACTAGCTATTCTTTTTTTGCAGTTTTTCTGTTACCTCAAACTTTCTGGCTCCAGGAGGCTATCTGGAGGTACATGTGCAGGTCACAGGGGTCACCGTGGTTTGACTATGGTGCAGTCCATGGTGCGGTCAGTTCAAAGGACTTTACAGGGACAACTATTCAAACTCTATCATCCTGCCTTCTTTCCTCTCTCAGAACTCATGTCCTTCTCACATGGCAAAATGTAATTATGCCTTCCCAACCGTCTCCCAAAGTCTTAACTCATTCCAGCACTAACTCAAGAGTCCAAAATCTAATGACTCATTTGAGACACCTTCTTCCTTGACTTCCGACTCTAGTCTTGACTCCTTGGGGCACAGTCAAGTACTTCCTAAAATACAGAGGAAGTCAGGTCACTCTTGGTCCTAGAGGGGCAAGTGCTCTCCAGTTTCTCCCAAGATAAAGTCTGCATCCCTGGGATTCCTTTCTGATACTCAGTGCCCAGATTCAATGACCTTCTAATTAAACAGTCCTTTGAACATTTCCTAAAACTCATCGGACTTTTGTATCATCTGCATTTCTGTTCACTATTTCCATGGCCCGGAAACGTTTGTTCTCTCCAGACATATCCAGACCCTGCTCATCTGTCAAGGATGGTCTTATACCTGCCTTACTCTTTGCGTCTTACCCTGACATTCCCAGGAACTGGTCTGTATCACTTATCTCTCTCTCTTTCTTTCTTTTTTTCTTCCTTTCTTTCTTTCTTTCTTCCGCTTGCTTTCTTTCTTTCTTTCTTTCTTTCTTTCTTTCTTTCTTTCTTTCTTTCTTTCTTTCTTTCTTTCTTTCTTTCTTTCTTTCCTTCTTTCTTTCCTTCTTTCTTTCTTTCCTTCTCTCTTT